CACTATGGCATCATTGTCATAGTGCCTGCTATGTAATCTTTGAAATCTTTACAGCCTGGGATATCTTTCTCTTCAAAACTCCAGTCCTTCCTTATCCACAGAGCCAGTTATTCTCTTCTTCTTCCTTCTCTTTCCTTACTACATAGTGGTCATACAAAAACACTACATTTGTTATGATGCCTGATAGTTTTTCTTCTGTGAGTGCTATTACATCTGGGTTTTTATCTTGTGACCTTTCTCCAAGTTCACATGTTTTATTGTTAATTCCATCTGCTTGTGTACATCCCCTTGAAGCTCACTTTCTTCTGTCCATCGTCACTTTTCCGCTCTCACGAAGATTGTTCCACTAGTGTGGGAAGCTATTCACCGGACTGGGCTGCGTGGATGGGGTTGGTGTGCTGTGCGATAGTTAACATTGGTTCAGAGAGTGGTGCTGTGCATCGTGGGGAGGACGGGCTGGGAGGGCTTGGGAAGAGGGGGAAAGTGTGGAGTAGGGAGGACTGGGTGAGCCTTTTCTGTCCTTGTCGCTTCACTCAGCTGGGCTGGTCCCTGTTTACTCATTAATGACTACTACAACTACTGTTCTTTTTCGCTCTATCAGCCGGCTAGTACATCTAGCTCCTGAGAAAAAGCCACTTTCATGGCAACTTCCCTTACTGTGTAAGTGTACTCACCTAGTTGTGCTTGCGGGGGTTGAGCTCTGGCTCTTTGGTCCCGCCTCTCAACCGTCAATCAACAGGTGTACAGGTTCCTGAGCCTATTGGGCTCTATCATATCTACACTTGAAACTGTGTATGGAGTCAGCCTCCACCACATCACTTCCTAATGCATTCCATTTGTCAACCACTTTGACACTAGAAAAGTTCTTTCTAATATCTCTGTGGCTCATTTGGACACTCAGTTTCCACTGTGTGTGTGTGTGTGTGTGTGTGTGTGTGTGTGTGTGTGTGTGTGTGTGTGTGTGTGTGTGTGTGTGTGTGTGTGTACGAACGGGCACACGTTTGTTAGTAAAAGCATGTGAGGATATACGAAGACCTTATAATATAACAGGTTCCATGCCTCCCACACTCACCACACCACAGCAACAAGGACAGAGGACGCCACCATGCCGCTGGCAATGTACAGGATGGTGTTAAGAGCTGGCGGAGTCCGCCTTAAAAAGGATCTGTGAAAATGAACGTAAATTCTTTGCCCAATATATGTCGCCTTTATTGCGTGTGTGTACTGGCAAGTGGCGCACAGGCGTGCAACGCGCCCCTGGGGGAGTGTTGCATGGATTATAGTAGTGCAACACGCCCCAGGGGTGGTGTTGCATGGATTATAGTAGTTCAACACGTCCCAGATTATAGTAGGGTGGTGTTGCATGGATTATAGTAGTGCAACACGCCCCAGGGGTGGTGTTGCATGGATTATAGTAGTGCAACACGCCCCAGGGGTGGTGTTGCATGTGTCAGGAAAAAATGGCGGGATTAATATGAGACGAGAACTACTAGGGACTTGTAATGTACTAAACTAAAAATTACTGTATGCAAAATTAATTCCACTAAAGTCCCTAGCTAGGGTCGTAAATCCTAGCTCCTCTTCCCCTAATGACAGACTGTGGGCTGTAAGGGGCAGGTGGGGTCCCTAAGAGTGAATGGAGAAGTTGATTGAAGATCCACAATCCACCTGCAGACAATTTTATACATCAGCTTGTATTGTTAATACAAAGATAAGATTTAACAATTCAGTTCTCTAACTGAACACTGGTTCTGTTTAAATCAGGGATCTAAACATGTACACAGTCTGGCCTAGCACAGTAACTATAACATTCAATATTCTTATACTATAAACACAATTTATATTTTAGAAGTATGATATATATGAATATGTAATCAAATGACCATAAATGTGGTCTAAGTACTATTAACTAAGTACAAGAGATATATTCAATAGGATAAACTTATATGATAACTAAGTAAGCTATTGTTAACGTAATTTATATGTTCAAGTGTAATATATAAATATATATATATATATATAATATATATATATATATATATATATATAATATATATATATATATATTCAATTTGTATGAAGAGATTCAGTCGCTAGACTGGACTCTTGCAAGACAAGGGACACTCAGGAGGTTATGATTACCTCACAAGTATCTGGTCAATGAGAAGAGATTCAGTAACTAATTTATAAATAAACTTACTGAAATATGAGGCATTGCCTCACCCTCTAACGACAAACAGACTTATTCGATATATTAAGGTTACAAAAGCATGCAATTGGACAATTAACACTCTAAAATACCTCAATATACTTAGGTCTGAATGCTGGGGCCTGTCTGACGAGTTGCCAGACTGGTTAACTCTCCTTTCGAGTTTAGGCATGATATTTTATGTCCCAGCGTTGCTGTATAATGTTCTGGCAGCGTTGCTAATTGATTATGTCCTTAATTGCGGTTGTGGTAGTCTAAGATAGGTGATGGTGGAGGTGAAGCCTACCTCACTTGGTGAGCACGTTCCACTCTACCTCATATTTAGATAAAGTACTAGGAATTTTTCCTTTGTAGATATTGTCCAGGTACTCCCCCAGTTCTAGAGAGTAATCACTGGTGATAGAGATATGTTATTAAGTGTCCTTTACAAAATAAAGTTACTAAAGGCACCTCACGTTGTCACACTGTATGTAAACAAACGCTTTCTGGCCCCGGGCCATGGTGGGCGCTTCTCTCCCTATGCTCCCTGAGCATGGTAACCTTCAATGAATATTGATTGATTATTTTCTCTGTCTAGACATATGATTGAGATAAGATGTGATTATAATATAATTAGATATAAGATTCAAAGATCATAAGTAGTCTTTGCTAGCACTACTGATTCTTATTAAGGATTTGATTTAATCCATTACCGGAAATCGATTGATGTTCCAATAGTTTTTTAATTAAGATATCCTTCTAGAAGCTTCTAGATCATTGAGAAGTCATGCTCTAAGTCACGTAGGCAACCAAGGGGCCCTATGGCTGTACGTGATCATAGGTGGCATTGTCATGTAGGATCCAGATGTATAATGAATCTATAGTGATTCTAAGAGGATTCTGATATGATTTAGGAATAGTACATATCTTAGATAATAATATAGATACAGTCGGGAAAATTTCCCACAGCATGGATTACAGTAGTGCAACACATCTAGGGGTGGTGTTGCATGGATTACAGTAGTGCAACACATCTAGGGGTGGTGTTGCATGGATTACAGTAGTGCAACACATCTAGGGGTGGTGTTGCATGGATTACAGTAGTGCAACACATCTAGGGGTGGTGTTGCATGGATTACAGTAGTGCAACACATCTAGGGGTGGTGTTGCATGGATTACAGTAGTGCAACACATCTAGGGGTGGTGTTGCATGGATTACAGTAGTGCAACACATCTAGGGGTGGTGTTGCATGGATTACAGTAGTGCAACACATCTAGGGGTGGTGTTGCATGGATTACAGTAGTGCAACACATCTAGGGGTGGTGTTGCATGGATTACAGTAGTGCAACACATCTAGGGGTGGTGTTGCATGGATTACAGTAGTGCAACACATCTAGGGGTGGTGTTGCATGGATTACAGTAGTGCAACACATCTAGGGGTGGTGTTGCATGGATTACAGTAGTGCAACACATCTAGGGGTGGTGTTGCATGGATTACAGTAGTGCAACACATCTAGGGGTGGTGTTGCATGGATTACAGTAGTGCAACACATCTAGGGGTGGTGTTGCATGGATTACAGTAGTGCAACACATCTAGGGGTGGTGTTGCATGGATTACAGTAGTGCAACACATCTAGGGGGGGTGTTGCATGGATTACAGTAGTGCAACACATCTAGGGGTGGTGTTGCATGGATTACAGTAGTGCAACACATCTAGGGGTGGTGTTGCATGGATTAAAGTAGTGCAACATGCCCCGGGGTAGTGTTGCATGGATTATAGTAGTGCAACACGCCCCCGGGGGTAGTGTGGGTTCAGTGTGACTTGTTATAGAGGCAGTGTGGCGTGTTATAGGCGCAGTGTGGCTTGTTTAGGGGCAGTGTGGCGTGTTATAGAGGCAGTGTGGCGTGTTATAGAGGCAGTGTGGCGTGTTATAGAGGCAGTGTGGCGTGTTATAGGGGCAGTGTGGCGTGTTATAGGGGCAGTGTAGCGTGTTATAGGGGCAGTGTGGCATGTTATAGGGGCAGTGTAGCGTGTTATAGGGGCAGTGTGGCATGTTATAGGGGCAGTGTGGCGTGTTATAAGGAAAGCGTAGCTTGAAACACGTGACAAGAGTGAGGGAGGAGCAACACGCGACCAGTGTGAGGGAGCAGCAGCAGCAGGTGACCAGTGTGAAGGAGAGGCGGAGCAGGGATGCTCTACCCGTCAGGAGGCTGGAGGCGTCTCCAGGGAGAGGGCTCCGGCCCGGCACTAACGTCTCAAAGATATTCTTACACCCTTGCCAGCCAGTCGTCGTGGGACGGACCTGTGGGACGGGGAGAGGCGTGACGGGAGGACGTAAGGTTGGAAGGAGAGTTAGCGTGGAGGTTGTGAGGGTTGTGGTGGATGGTGGTGGAGAATTACATGAGGGTGGGGGGTATTGTTGAAGCTTAGTCCCAGTGTTTACCTTGGGGTCTCACTACATGCCATGTGGTCCCACCACATCTTGGGGTCCCACTACATGCCATGTGGTCCCACCACATCTTGGGGTCCCACTACATGCCATGTGGTCCCACCACATCTTGGGGTCCCACTACATGCCATGTGGTCCCACCACATCTTGGGGTCTCACTACATGCCATGTGGTCCCACCACATCTTGGGGTCCCACTACATGCCATGTGGTCCCACCACATCTTGGGGTCCCACTACATGCCATGTGGTCCCACCACATCTTGGGGTCCCACTACATGCCATGTGGTCCCACCACATCTTGGGGTCCCACTACATGGGTTCTACAACATGATGTGCGGGACTACATGCCTTGGCGCCCTACTATATTCTTTGGTTGTCCTGTTTTGTATCTTGGAGTCTTTCGACGTCCCCCTGAGGTCTTTCGACGTCCCCCTGAGGTCTTTCGACGTTCCATGAGGCCTTTCGACGTCCCCCTGAGGTCTTTCGACGTCCCCTGAGGTCTTTCGACGTTCCATGAGGCCTTTCGACGTCCCCCTGAGGTCTTTCGACGTCCCCTGAGGTCTTTCGACGTTCCATGAGGCCTTTCGACGTCCCCCTGAGGTCTTTCGACGTCCCCTGAGGTCTTCCGACGTCCCCCTGAGGTCTTTCGACGTCCCCTGAGGTCTTTCGACGTCCCCTGAAGTCTTTCGACGTCCCCTGAAGTCTTTCGACGTCCCCTGAGGTCTTTCGACGTCCCCTGAGGTCTTTCGACGTCCCCCTGAGGTCTTCCGACGTCCCCTGAGGTCTTCCGACGTCCCCTGAGGTCTTTCGACGTCCCCTGAGGTCTTTCGACGTCCCCTGAGGTCTTTCGACGTCCCCCTGAAGTCTTTCGACGTCCCCCTGAGGTCTTCCGACGTCCCCTGAGGTCTTCCGATGTCCCCTGAGGTCTTTCGACGTCCCCTGAGGTCTTTCGACGTCCCCTGAGGTCTTTCGACGTCCCCCTGAGGTCTTTCGACGTCCCCTGAGGCCTTTCGACGTCCCCTGAGGCCTTTCGACGTCCCCTGAGGTCTTCCGACGTCCCCTGAGGTCTTCCGACGTCCCCTGAGGCCTTTCGACATTCCCTGAGGTCTTCCGACGTCCCCCTGAGGTCTTTCGACGTCCCCTGAGGCCTTTCGACGTCCCCTGAGGCCTTTCGACGTCCCCTGAAGTCTTTCGACGTCCCCTGAGGCCTTTCGACGTCCCCTGAGGTCTTTCGACGTCCCCTGAGGTCTTTCGACGTCCCCTGAAGTCTTTCGACGTCCCCTGAGGCCTTTCGACGTCCCCTGAGGCCTTTCGACGTCCCCTGAGGCCTTTCAACGTCCCCTGAGGTCTTTCGACGTCCCCTGAGGTCTTTCGACGTTTCCTGAGGTCTTTCGACGTCCCCTGAGGTCTTTCGACGTTCCCTGAGGTCTTTCGACGTTCCCTGAGGTTTTTCGACGTCCCCTGAGGTCTTTCGACGTCCCCTGAGGTCTTTCGACGTCCCCTGAGGTCTTTCGACGTCCCCTGAGGACTTTCAACGTTCATTGAGGTCATTCGACGTCCCCTGAGGTCTTTCGACGTTCCCTGAGGTCTTTCGACGTTCCCTGAGGTTTTTCGACGTCCCCTGAGGTCTTTCGACGTCCCCTGAGGTCTTCCGACGTCCCCTGAGGTCTTTCGACGTTCCCTGAGGTCTTTCAACGTTCCCTGAGGTCATTCGACGTCCCCTGAGGTCTTTCGAAGTAACCTGAGGTCTTTCGACGTCCCCCTGAGGTCTTTCGACGTCCCCTGAGGCCTTTCGACGTCCCCTGAGGCCTTTCGACGTCCCCTGAGGACTTTCGACGTCCCCTGAGGTCTTTCGACGTCCCCTGAGGTCTTTCGACGTTTCCTGAGGTCTTCCGACGTCCCCTGAGGTCTTTCGACGTTCCCTGAGGTCTTTCGACGTTCCCTGAGGTTTTTCGACGTCCCCTGAGGTCTTTCGACGTTCCCTGAGGTCTTCCGACGTCCCCTGAGGTCTTTCGACGTTCCCTGAGGTCTTTCGACGTCCCCTGAGGCCTTTCGACGTCCCCTGAGGACTTTCGACGTCCCCTGAGGTCTTTCGACGTCTCCTGAGGTCTTTCGACGTCCCCTGAGGTCTTTCAACGTTCCCTGAGGTCATTCGACGTCCTCTGAGGCCATTCGACGTCCCCTGAGGTCTTTCGACGTCCCCCTGAGGTCTTTCGACGTCCCCTGAGGTCTTCCGATGTCCCCTGAGGTCTTCCGACGTCCCCCTGAGGTCTTCCGACGTCCCCCTGAGGTCTTCCGACGTCCCCTGAGGTCTTCCGATGTCCCCTGAGGTCTTCCGACGTCCCCTGAGGTCTTTCGACGTTCCCTGAGGTCTTTCGACGTCCCCTGAGGTCTTTCGACGTCCCCTGAGGTCTTTCGACATTTCCTGAGGTCTTTCGACGTTCCCTGAGGTCTTTCGACGTCCCCTGAGATGTTTCTGCGTTTCTAGTATGGGGGTTGGAGCATCAGGTCACGTGAGACAGTAATTCAAGCAAGTTAGCGTGGCGAGGGTCAGTAAAGGATCAACCTAAACTGCAAATATACGAAAATATTGTTTATTCCGGTAAATTAGTTGCTAATACATGAGGAGCAACTTACTCTATTGATGGTACGCCAAGCTGAGAGTGCGTCAGAGAGGCTCTTGGCGTCTGGCTGAGCATTCACTGGGCTACACGCCTCAACAATCCTCTCTCGTCTTTTTAACACAAATCTCAAGACTTGGCTTATGCTAACACTGCCGGTCGCAAGGGAAAAAATGCCAGCTCCATACGATGCTCAGGAACACTTACTGACATATTAAAATAATGTCACATTAAAATAAGGTGATATGTGTTGTGTGAGTGTACGTATACAATCACCTTTGACGTATGATCGACTTGATATAACGCAGAGTACCACTCTAACATCTTCAGTAATTAACATTAGACCTTCACCTGTTCCACCTGAATGGCGGTCACAGTTTGCCTCTCCCCCCCCCCACACCCATCCATGGATAACCACTTGGGCTGAGCGGTAGAGCGACGGTCTTGCTTCATACAGGTCGGCGTTCAATCCCCGACTGTCCAAGTTGTTGGGCACCATTCCTTTCCCCTGTTCCATCCCAGATCCTTAAACTGACCCCGTCCAAATGCTATATAGTCGTAATGACTTGGCGCTATCTCTTGATAGTTCCATCTCTCCCCCCCCCCCCTTTATATATATATATATATATATATATATATATATATATATATATATATATATATATATATATATATATATATATATATATGAATATATATATATATATATATATATATATATATATATATATATATATATATATATATATATATATATATATATTAGTATATTTTGGTAGCATTCTTTCTTGTAAACATTTGTTAAATATGACCGAAAAAGTAAGATTAATAATTCTAACTCGAATTTTCTCAATATTTCTTATGTTTCTTTTCACTGTCGATGGTAATTGAAAAATCAATTCCCCAAAATTAATTTTTATTTCCAGTGTGACGCGACGCCTGAACGCGTTTCGTAATTACCTATTGCATTTTCAAAGACTTTAGTTTACACACAACTGTAACCTGTAAACACGCCATTTGCTTCTATATCTATACTCGCATTTGGGTGAGGTGATATGGTACAACAGTTTTGGATGAGGTGAACAAACTTGTGACAAACACAAGACAGAACACGGAACAATGGGAATTAATTGGATATATGAGAGCACAAGAATGGAAGTAACTGCAAAGGGCCTATAGGCCCATACTTCCTCTTGATGCTTCTATATTGGTACGGAGTCTTGAAGTGGGTAGAATATAGTTGTGTATTATTTGGCTGTTGATTGTTGGTGTTGACTTTTTGATGTGTAGTGCCTCGCAGATGTCAAGCCGTCTGCTATCGCTGTATCTAACGATGATTTCTGTGTTGTTTGTAAAGACTTCTCTGGTGATGGTCTGGTTGTGAGAGGAGATTATATGTTCCTTTATGGAGCCCTGTTGTTTATGCATTGTTAATCGCCTGGAAAGAGACGTTGTTGTCTTGCCTATATACTGAGTTCTTTGGAGCTTACAGTCCCCAAGTGGGCAGCTGAAGGCATAGACGACGTTGGTTTCCTTCAAGGCGTTCTGCTTTGTGTCTGGAGAGTTTTTCATGAGTAGGTTGGCCGTTTTGGAATTACTTTAAGATGTTACAGTTACAGATATAAGATGTTAAGGTGTTACACCCACCACCGACACACACCAGGAGTCTAGTGTGGGGTGTTACACCCACCAACAACACACACCAGGAGTCTAGTGTGAGAGGTGTTACACCCACGAACCACTCTAAGAGAGCAGGAAGCAACAACACCTTTAACTGGCCACATGTATAATGCAATCAGCTTCCTGCCTTAGAGTGGTCAGAATATAGACTCTGCCGTGTAAAGAACTGAAGACGCATCCGGCAGACAGAGGAAGGAGGTAGAGAAGAGGAAATTCCCTCAGATGGATGAGAAAAGCCTTCAAGGGCCTTCCGGCAGGTGTTGGAGGAAACGTCTTCGCAGCCTCCGGCAGGTGTTGGAGGAATCATCTACGCAGCCTCCGGCAGGTGTTGGAGGAATCATCTACGCAGCCTCCGGTAGCATCCAGGAGAGGCTGGAATGGACTTCCCGTCAGAGAAGGACTGGTGAGACAGCCTGTAGAGGTGTTTGTTGGCGGAGCACCATGGGTCGTAACTGTCTTCTGCCGTTCTGACTCTTGTGTCGCTTCTGTCTGTCTGTCTATGTATCCTTCCTCTCTCTCTCTCTCTCTCTCTCTCTCTCTCTCTCTCTCTCTCTCTCTCTCTCTCTCTCTCTCTCTCTCTCTCTCTCTCTCTCCCCTCCCCTCCCCGTCCCACACACTCCTGTCTCTGGTTCGCAGCGCCCTCTGGAGCGCGTGGCCCTCAGGCCAATATTTACTAACCCTTTGTCTGTGTTGAAAGGACCTGCAAGTCGAGTATAACCCTTCATTGTTTACTCCCAGTAATTACCGCTGCTGGCGGTAATTGCAGTTTTCTCAACACTGGCCGCCAAGTGCTTTTTTCACTTATTCATATTCCTGGTAATATATTTTTATTGCCGTTATGTAATAGCTGTATTCATATTTCAGGACATAATGAATGTGTTATGTTAATATAAGTTTTAACGTGGTTAAAGTGGAGAGATGTTGTTGAATTCATTAAAATTTTTAAATTTCGGATTATGTTTGTAAATATGGAGCTAGTACGAGTGTTAATGACTGCCAGTCAGGGACCGGTCAGGGGCCAGTCAGGGACCGGTCAGGGACCAGTCAGGGGACCAGATAGGGACTAGGCCTCCTAATATCAGTCAGCCACGGGACTAGGCGTATGAGACTGCTAGTAACTACAACCTTCATTACTTTATAAACCCGCTAAATACAAATAATTATACAATGTAAAATAAACTAACCCATTGTATTCCCTAAACTCAATATCTGGTAATGGAGAACGTGAGCATTAATTATAATGTCTTAACGATCATCTTGTGTTCGGGACAAGTAGATGTGTACCATCACAACAGTGTACACATGTGCACGCTTAAATGTGCACCACATTGATCTTTACGTCGTGTTACACTGAACACTCTCTACAGGCAACACTGTCGAATGGGACTTCATTGCGACTTCAGACGAGCTTCAAGATGCAATCGAACCCAGGCGTTTGGGTCCAAGGATTTGACCCCAAGAATGGGAAAGTCAGTCTAGAACGAGAATTCGTCCAACTGGTTAGAAATGTTGAAACAAAAGAGATGAGGAAGGCAAAAAGAAACTATGAAGTTCGCATAGCAGGGCAAAGACAAAAATCCTAAAGGTTTTTTCAGTTATATCGAACAAAGGATTAGGGAAAGGATTGGCCCATTAAAAACCGAGACAGGTCAGATAACTGATAATGACGAAGAGATGAGTAGTATTTTTAATAAATATGTTATCTCTGTATTTACTAAAGAGGAACTTAACATTGTGCCTTCAGCCGAACAAGTCTATGTGGGTGGGGACGAGGACAGATTGACTAGTTTAGCAGTTACCAGGGAGGATGTTATTAAACAGTGAAATAAAGCCAAACAAATCCCCAGAGCCGCACGAAGTGTTTGCCAGGGTGCTTAAAGAATGCAAACAGGAGCATTGCGAGCCATTGTCTACTATTTTTAAGAAATCCTTAATCCAGAAATTAATTTCTTAATCTTAAGAAATCCAGAAAAATCATTATTATAATGAAAAACTAAATTTTTAGCATAAGCGTTAAATAAAAGGGCATGACCTGACTTTTATGATACAGTACAGTACTGTACTTTGAAATACTGTGCCAGAGTCGTGGAAGGTTGCTAATGTGGTACGAATTTTCAAGAAAGGAGATAGATCACTTGCGTCATATTATCGGCCCATTAGCTTAACGTCTATTGTGGGAAAGTTGCTTGAATCGATAATTCCAAATACCATTATTCTTCATCTTGAAAAACATAGATCAATAAATGATTCACAACGTGGTTTTACTAATGGCCGTTCATGTTTTAACATATTTGCTATCATTTTATTCCAGCATAGTTGAGGCAGTTGATAATGGTAATGTTTGTGATGTTGTATAGCTTGACTTTAGCAAAGCTTACGATACAGTTGGTGGTGCTATAGTAAGTTGGATTAGGGCATGGCTATATCAAAGGAAACAAAGAGTTAGTATTAATGTGGTTAAGACAGAGTGGGAAAATGTTGTAAGTGGAGTGCCTCAAGGCTCTGTCCTGGGACCTCTGTTATTCATAATGTATATAAATGATTTACATTCAGGTTTGAGCAGCAATATTTGCAAATTTGCCAATAATGGGAAAACCGGAAGAGGGAGAAACACGGAAAAGGCTCACAATAATTTCAAAACATCTAAATAGCGTTTTGAAATGGACAAAAGATTGGCAGATGCAGTTTAATGGTGACAAATGTAAGGTTTTGAGGCTAGGTAATGATAGAGTTACAAGATACCACCTAGATGGTGTTGAGATTGCGAAGTCGGATTGCGAAAGGGATCTGGGAGTTATGATTAGTGAAAATTTAAAACCAAAAAATCAATGCATAAATGTTTCTGTCAGTCCTTTTCATCTTCTAGTACTCACCTATTTGTGCTTGCTTGTGTTAAGCTCTGGCGCTTTGGTCTATGCGTGTGTGTGGTTGTGAGTGAGCTCATACACACACACACACACACACACACACGCGTGCGCCTTAAGCGCGTGTGTTTATGCGTGCACGCGCCTTAAGAAGAAATGTATTATTTACAAGCATGAGGTGTACAAGAGAGGGAGGGAGAGAGTGCCAGGGAAGCTGAGGATGAGAGAGAGACCAACACCGTCCTAATACTGGGAGA